GAGAGGCTGATGCAAGAGCCGAAAGCTATCTAGCATCATGCCGTGCTGCCCAGTCCGTCATTGTGTACATACAATGTGGTTAGCCATACCGACGTGCATGCTAGACCCGGGAAGCGGGAACCCCTCCACGCCGTCATAGCCGCGGCCGTTGACCAGCAAGTTTGCAATTCCGCATCCTCATCGACGATACATTCCCATGTACTCTTTTCGGACCGGAGACATCCAGCACTGGGACCCAAAGTTCGCATGCCCCAGCGGCTAGCCATAACACCAAAGGCAACTTTGATGCGTTGGTGTTTCGTGACGGTGCTGAGGCCCTCCTCAACATACCCCTCACTCAAGACACCCTCAGCTCAGACGCCTCTGCCCCAAGTAAATTCTCCGCAAATCCAGACACGCTCCTGCGGCAGATCTCGCCGCCGATCCTGTCCGAAAACTAACATACATACCCGCTCAACACCATACCGAGTCTTATGCTGCGTCTCGTTCTTGAGCAAGCGAGTTGAAAAGCGCCTGTCACTGCGGCAACGCAGAAACGGTCGCCGACAGTATGACGAGTTTACCGCCACTATCGTAACCACACTGCACTCCACTCTGCAACTCTACCGATAATCAGCCAACTAAAGCTTACATCTGACCCTCTACGTGCGAACAAATAAAAACACATTCTTTTTGATCCACCCCGTACTCTACCTCACCGAACAACGGCGAAAGCGAAAAGAGCCACCACACTAGATCACGATGTCCCAAAATCTGAAACACATCTGGGTGGAGTCGTACGCAGTTCCCAACCACCCACAACCACGCACGCACAAAGGAGCGGTAAGCAGAAAAGGCACCAAAACAGCAAGCAAAGAAAAAAATCAACGTGTACCAACACCAGCGGTCAACCCAATAAGCGGGCCGCTCCCGGCAATCAATCGGTGTCCTTTGCTCCGTTCACACCAACAGCCCGTCCGTCTCATCCCCCCCCACTTCCGCTACACACCAAATCCCAACACGTGCACACTTCCACCACAACACCCACATAACAATCCGCATTCTAGACCCTTGATTCCCACATTTCTCGCCTGCCTAACACGTGCAACACACCGGTAGATCGTTATCTCCAAACGAAACGGCGCATCTGCAGCTGTCAGGCCAGGTCATGCGCGGTAGGTGCGGGTAAGGCGACGCGCGGGTGTACCAGGGTGAAAGGAAAACACAGTGACAGGGGCGATGAGGGGCATAGGGGACCGGGTATGCTGGTATAGGGACAGCGATCATAGTAGGTGGGAGGAAGTCAAGCGGGAGGTTTTGTGCTGTTGCGGTTTAGTGGCAGTGCAGATGTATGCATGAAGTGACAGGGCTTGGGGCGTTTTCTTTCACGTGTGTTATGCGAGTATGACTGGAATTATGAGGTGGGTTTGCGTGGTGGGGGATGTGTATGGTAGCCGGTGGGTGTTTTGGCGATGGGAACGCGGTATGCGGAGGGAGGCGTGTGGACTGTGGATACGTGTGTTGAGGGGACTTGATGGTAAGCGATTGGTTGGGGGTGGTGTTGTTGGATTGGACGGTGGCTTGGCTGTTGCTATCTGCACGTGAAGATGGTGGCAGAAGTATCATATCAATCATCATATAGAAGTGATGCAGTAAATATGTAAGCACGATCAAAAGTGAAGTAGTTTGAAGTGGCATGATATGTTGTGTTTGACAGTGCAGTTCTTTGTATATACTACCATCACATGTCGACATTGGCAATTCGCACTGTACCACTAATGGTGGTTTACTCCTACAACATGTCACCTCGTTCACATCATTCAAGTTCTTCAATGCTAGGTTGGGGTCAGCATGGGTTCGTGAGGAGTCCCCAGTTGCACTTACGTCGACGTCGTCCCAACCACGACCCTTTACGTTTGCCAACTCGTCCATCGACATGACATGGCCGGTTGTGACTGTAATATCCTGTTAGTAGTTGCCAGAGCATCAGAGGGAGTGGGAACTTACAGTAGCCAGCTTGAATCTTAGCATCAATCTCGACACGACTATCCGCCGGGATCATATCGTCGGGAATGGGTACACGCTCATGGATAGGAATGCCTTGATCGACAATAGCATCGTGTTTCATGTTGGACATGCTGAGCATCCTGTCGATCTTGGTGATACCCAGCCAGTGCAGGATATCTGGCATCAGAGCCTGGAAGCGCATGTCCTTGACACCAGCAATGTTCTCAGTGCGCTTGAAGTACTCGCTGGCACGATCTTCGCCTCGCTTTCTGGCGTTGTAGACGAGGTATTTCGTGACCTCACCCAGAGCACGACCTTCCTTGCGGAAGTAGATGACAACACCGCTGCCACCCTTCTGGGCCTCTTTGACTGCTTCCTCGATACCGAAAGTCAGGTAGGGACGGCATGTGCAAATGTCAGATCCGAATACGTCACTTCCGTTGCATTCGTCGTGGATACGGAGAGCGAGCTTCGCGCTGGGGTCGGACATCTTTGCTGGGTCACCGAAGATGTAGACTGTTAAACCGCCAATAGGAGGGAGGAAGAGCTTGATGTCGTGACGGGTGATGAGCTCTGGGTAGGAACCACCAGTCTCTTCGAATAGTGTCCTGCGCAAAGTTCCCTCGTCTTTCGAATACGTTAGTGGATGTAGTCAGAAATGCGTTTCGACCCACTGACCAATGTTGAAACGCTCAGCAACACCAGGCAGGTACCATACAGGCTCGACTGCGACCTTGGTGACCGCAACCTCACCAGTCTCGTTGACGCAAATCTTGCCATCGGGAACGAGCCTGCCTTTCCTTACACTCTCCTCAAGTTCTGGCACTTTCATGTGTGCTCTGGTGATGGCAATGGTAGGTCTGATCTCAACATCATCCTTATCCATGGTTTCCTTGTACAGCCAGGGTGCGAGATGGCCGTATGGGTCCATGGCCACAATCTTCTTTGGGTCGCTCCATTGCGGGAAAGGACCGATCTTCGCGGCAGGCTCAGTGTTAGTGAAGTCTGGCTTGTGTGTGATGTCGAGGTTCTTGCTGGCAACGGCCAGAGCATTGTAGATGGAGTATGAGCCACCATGAGCACCGATAGCTACAAAATGTTAGAAACTAAATGTATAGTCGTTTAGATGTACGTACCGTTACGTCTTCGGATAGTGTTCGCATGTCTTGACACAACGACAGGGCCACGAACAGCAGGGTCCTTGGCACCCCACTGCATTGGCAACGGGTCGACACCGGCTTGGCCGGGATACGAAGTCAAAATGATCTTTGAAATCTTGGATACACTCGTGCGACGTGGTTGGGCATCAGCATTTGAAGGTGGCTGCTCATACTGCTCGCTAACAGCTTCTACGGACTTCTCTGGCTCAACTTCCTTCGCCTTCTCGCCGTCCAGCTTGCCATTGGCAGCTTCACTTGCTGCCTCGTCCTTGATTTGCTTGATGCCTGCCAGCATGTTCACACGGCCGTTGATCTTGTCGACTGAAGCTGCCAGTACGGAGTTCTCCGAGCGGAGCGCCTTGAGCCCATCGAGAATCTCCTTGAGGACAGCATCGCTGGTGGTGCTTTCAGTAGACATGTTTGGTAATGGAAAACCTCATACAAAGTAGTACAGGATCTCTGGTCTTAAAGGCAAATAGCAATCGCGATTGCTGCGTTGGTATCGAGTCGTGAAACAAAGACCGGTGAGCTCCGGTGGTAGGACGAACACGCAAGATGATGTAGAAGTGGGTAGCGGACAGAGTCACAAACACAACTTTGAACAAACGTCAAAGGGGACCAGAAGAATCCAGAGAAGGAGGAGAAAGAGGGAAGAGGAGGATCAACGTGGTCAGATATTAGGAGCTCGCCGGCGGTGGCAGCAGCGAACAGCTGACTACACACGTGCATGATGGTCGCGGCGAGCGCTGATAGGAGCGGGGGCGCTTATCGGCTGTCGACGTATGCGGCAGCTGCAAGGGAGCGACAGGGATCTTGGCGGTCGGAACCACGCGAGACTCGAGACGCATTCAAGCCAAACTCGCGATTTCGCGTCACTGCACACGACACCGGCGCGACAAGCACCAAACACGGCTCTGGATATCCCCGCCACAATCGCTACTTAATAATTACGTGTACACACACCTTCCCCATCTGGCGACTCTAACCAACGCGAAAAATGGTGCGTTCCTCCCGGCTTCACGGTATCGCAGGCGCAAACTAACAGCAATGACAGGGCAAGCGCAAATCCTCCAGCAAGCCTCAAGGCCCCAAGAAGGCAGGCTCTACCCTATTCCCCTGATGCCCCGCCGACTAATACCCTTGTAGAAGGAGAAACTCCCGACCACCTTCCAATGTCTCTTCTGCAACCACGAAAAGTCCGTCAGCGTCTCCATCGAGAAGAAGTCGGGTGTCGGCAACCTGCAATGTAAAGTCTGCGGCCAGACCTTTCAGACCAACATCAACTACCTCAGCGCGCCCGTCGACGTGTACGCCGACTGGATCGATGCATGTGACGCCGTCGCGAAGGAGGCAGCCAAGGGCAGCGTCGAGACGGCGCGGAGTACAAATCGCATGGGCAGGATGCCGACGGCGCACAACCAAGAAGACGACGACGGTGACGGCGGATTCATCGAACACGACGAGCCTGACGCCGAGGGCGAGTACGCGGACTGAGTTGCCCGGGGGCCATCGCGCGAGGGCGACCAGGCGTGAAGGCTTCAGGCCTTGTATAATACATGGGAACATAGGGAGCGGATCATGGCTTGCACGGCGTTTAGGATACCAAAAAGGGTCCGCAGATTCACGGTGGCGTTTCATTATCGTCGTCAGCGTCAGGCTGAGTGTGTTCACGGTTAGCTGAGCGCAGCCTGTAGAAGTGTACACAGTAATCAAGCGTGTACATCAATGACCCTGACACGCCTGTAATGATGTGGTTTTCTCTAAACGAAACCATGCTACTACATGCCCAACTAAACCTAAGCCGCCTTGCGCCCAGCAAATGCTATCGATGAACCGGAGATGCTGTTGATTTCTTTACATGGTGTAGAAACGGTCGCCAAAGTCACCCAGTCCAGGGACAATGTAGCTACACGTCATATTAGTATGGAGTGGTCAGGAGGTCGGAGTAAACATACTTCTTCTCGTCCAGACCCGCATCAACAAAGGCCGTGACCACTCTCACCTTGGGGAACTTATCCGCAAGGTTTTGCGCGCCTTCTGGGCTGGCAATGAGGTTGAGGAAGAGAATGTGCTCCTCTGGCACGCCCCGCGACTTGAGCACATCGATCGCCATGAGTGCCGAACCACCTATCTCCATCAGCAGTGCTTACGCAAACACGCCTTGTGTACTTACCAGTAGCCAGCATAGGATCCAGCAACAAGACCCATCTGTCGGCAATGTCCTCAGGCAACTTGTCGTAGTACAATTTCGGCTTACTAGTCTCCTCGTCCCGCTGAATCAAGATCTTTCCTATGCGTACGCTCCTACAGCAGTCCCTCAAACCCTGCTCCATGGACTCTCCCGCACGCATAATCGAGACACCGCAGATCTTGCCCTCGAACTTGACACCGGAGTAAGTGCGGCCTACAGGGGTGGTGATCTCCTGAGACTCTGTTGGCAGGTGGTTAAGGCCTTCTTCAACAAGCAGACGGATTATGCGGTTGCTGTAGAAGATGAAATCTGCGCGGCCAGTGTTGCGATCACGTATCATGCTTTGAAATTGTTAGTATGAGTCTTTGTGCTCGACCATGGTGTTAGTCATGGTTCATGGGGCTCTTACGTGAGCAATGCTATCAGCTGAGGGGATTGGGGTAGGATGTGGACATTGGCCTGCTTGAGGGGAGTTGAGACGGTAGCTGTCGGTTTCAGATTTGAGGGACGGTATTCGGGGCCCAGGGATTGGGAAGGTGGATGCGAGTCGGAAGACATGGTTAGGGAGAGGCTGAGGATGGTCAGTCAAGGTCACGTAGCAGGAATCTGGTAGTATGGAAATGTTTCAGAGCCAAAATAAAGCATCTTAGGAGAAGCGTTTGGGAACATGCAAACGTAGTCATAGTCTAAATTGAGCTTACCGGCGCGTGAATGTGTGAGTAGAGCTTGTGCTGTTGGAACACAATTTGATATTGTGGGGTGGTAAGAGTGAGATCGAGGTGAGAGCAAGACCAAAGGATAGAGCAGACTTTTATCAATGGATACGATATCCAGATAAGAGGCAGGAAAGAGGAGCTGGAGCGTAGGTGGGCTAACAGTCTAGGCTCGTGACCGTCGGCGAAGTCCTTCACTCTGTTTGGGAAGGAGCAACCCATGCCCCGCTGTTTAGCGTGCCTGTCGTTCAGGACCCTGCTTGGATCACCAGCCACCATGCAAACAGCCGCTTTGAGCATTTCACCGTGACTGTCATGATGTCGCGACAATGAGAGAATAGGTTTGCGGTGAGCGAACGCGTGGACCGACGCTATCAAGCTGAAGGAGAGCGGGTGCCGAGACAAGCCATCCACGGTCCCTGGTGCCACCCGCCTGCTGCGAGATGCGCGTCTGAGCCAACTTTGGGAGCGTCACCACAACACGCCTACGCACCGACATGGCCACGACCATGTTCGCCAATTTCACGTCCGGCGACCGTCGCAAGAAAGTCTACGGCAAATCCTCGCGTCGTTCCACCCTGCCGCCGCCCCTTCCTGATTCCAACGATGATGCGCCGCCATCCCCAGACCGACCGCGGAAACATCCCGCAGCCTTGAACGGCTCGCCGAAGAAAGCCGGAGACACATTGAAGGCCAGCACGGGTCTGGAGAATGCGCGCGCAAGGACCGACGATGTCGACGTCTTCGATGTGCCCTCCGACGACGACTTCCTGTCGCGCCCGAAGCCCGCGAAGAAGATAATAGCGAATCGTCGGGCACCTGAAGCAGGCTTGGAAACCTCGATTTCTTCTAGAAGGGAGGCTGTGGTGGCATCTAAGAAGCCTGCAAAAGCTTCACAGCCATTGCGCAAGCCTGACAATGCGAATACTGCCACCGGAAAGAAGACGCTGCCGACGCCCGCGCAAGTTGCAAAGCCCGTACAGGCACCGCCACCGCCATCCTCGGATACGATCGCGCCTCGGACACTACGCGGGAAGACACCTCAGCCTGTGGAAACACAGAAACAGACGGCAAGGGACCCGAAGCCATCACAGAGGCCGGTGGCCAAGGCAAAAGCGTCTTCCGAGACGACGGCCGTTGCGCCGACAGCTACCAAGGCTCAGAAGAATGCGAAGATCACCTCAGCACTACCTGCGAAAAAGACGGCAGCAAAAGTTCTTGCCAAACCGACGGATGATTTAGCTGTGTTCGATATCCCAATGTCGGACGAAGAGGCTCCGCCAACGGTCAAAAAGATCTTACGTCAAGCTCCGCAGAAAGCACATAATGAGCCTCCCGGGAAGTCCAAGACAACATCGGGAGAGTCTCACAAAGACACTACCGAGTCGGACGAGTCGAATGCATCGAACAAGCGAAAGCGCAAAGGGTCCATGTCTTCGACTGCCACAGTGGCTACGTCAGTGGTACAACAGACGACTGAACAGTCGGCGCATCAGCGGAGCCGGAAGGTTCAGAAGAACGAGGAAATTGCTTCACCGGGGCATGCATCACTATTGCAGCCCGTCGCAGGCGCAACGCGGAAAACGCAACCGCCAGCGCTGGCACTCAACAAACCGACAAGGACGAGGCAACGCACCGTACCTGTCATGGCACCGCGAAAGATGACCAAGGGCCAGTCCTCTCCCGCTACTCTAAGCGGCATGATACCGAATCGCCAGGTCCCCAGGCCATCTCCTGTCAAGAAAATCCCAGACGTGCCTGAGATTGAAGACGAGACTATGTATGACATACCAGATCCGTTGACCACCCCTGTTCGGAAATCCAGACCTGTCGTACCTGGCTCCGTGACACCGCGACAGAGGGATCTCTTCAGCGGCTTGCTAAGCGATTCATCGTCCTCTGCTACACCAATGCCAAGCCTGGCGAACTTACAGCTGACGGATCGCAAACCGAGATCACTTATCGGTAACCTGGCAAGATCAAAGTCTGATGTCACTCACAGTGCCAAGGCCCGTAAGAGCAGACTCATTGACACTCTTAAACCAACCGAGACCAGCTCGGACGATGACGAAGAAGACAGCAGCAGCGATGGTGGAGAAGAGTCTGAAGCAAGCTCAAAACATCCCTCGTCTGCAAGAAGATCTGTACGAGAAGTCGGAAAAGAGCAAGCTTCAACGGCGTCCTCTGACGACATGGATGTGGACAAGCAAGCGAATGTGGACTCACAAACATCGCAGACAACGTCTGGTTTCGGCATGCGTCCAAAGCTCACTTACGCAATGGCGCGGTCGTACCTAAAGGAAGACAATCCAGAGGATGACCTACTGATCTCGATGGATCTAGACGATGGCTTTGGGTCTCAGTCCCAGATGGATACCAGATCTGTATCCGAGGATGACCCCGAGCAGAACAGTCAAGCACAGGCTCAACAAATTCACGAGCTCAAGACACGGGGGCGTAACATGATCATCGGATATGAGATCGAAATGATGATCGGAGACATATCCGTTACCAACAGTAAGAGTATGAGGCGTAGCGCAATGATCGATCTGTGCACCAAGATGGCCGATGAGACGTTCTGTCATCAGCTTGTCGACTCGGCTCTGGCCCATCAGTTCTTCCAGAACATCGCTGGCGGTCGCGAGATTATCTTCGACTTTGTCGCTGCCGTAGCCACAGTATTTATCCTCCGTACCAACCCTACCCACTCTGTCCTAGACGAGTTACAGGAGACCGGCAGTTTCGCTCACTTGATCGAGCTAGCCAGCAATGATGCGGATATCAAGGAGATCGCCAAAGATCGCAAGTCGAACATGTCTAAGATTGCTAAGGAATCGGTATTCACGTTTCGCACCCTAGTCCAGCAAAGCTCTATCTGGTCATCCAGCGTAGTACAGAAGATATCCCCCCAGCTTGTCGCGCTGAAAGCTATCGAGTTGCTCATCATTGGTATGCGGAAGGCTGGCAATGCTGATAAGCTACTTGATCAAACGATGATCTCCCAGCTCGTTGAGATGGCTTCGAAATCGAATGATCGGTTGCAATCGAGCAAGGAGGGAAGCGCGGACAAAATATGCCTGGAAACAGTACTTTCCATACTCGAGTCAATTTCTGCCACGAGACAGATCCAAGCCTCCTGGCCGACGGGTGTGCTTCAGCGTATTGCGGGCTTTATGCCTCGGTTCTTCCAGCCTGACAACGCTGCATCAACTATGCTCGCTGTCAGGCTATGCATGAACCTGACGAACAACAAGCCAAAGGCTTGCCAGCCGTTCTCAGCAATGGCTTTTGTGCAGCCGTTGACGCATTCCATCGTTGGAAAGTTTGAGTCGATCAGTACGGGGCTAGCAACGGAAAAGCGGATAGAGGTTTTGGATAGTCTCATCTTGAGCTTGGGTGCTGCCATCAATCTTGCGGAGCTGAGCGACGAGATGAGGCTTAACGTCGCTGATCAGATTGACGCTCTGGTCGCCATCTTCCTGGAGGGATCAAAGCGTGCTTCACAGGTACGTACGCGTTCAGCAGTCATGCTTTCAGCAATGCTAACCCTGCTTTAGGCTGCTTCTGTGGAAGAATCGCATTCTGGTGTAGCCATTGGATATCTTGCCGTGCTCCTTGGTAATCTGAGTCTCAACGACCAGATAAGGGCAAAAGTCCGCACGCTGCTACCGAACGAGCGACTTGACACCCTTGTCAATAGCATCGAGGAATTTGTCCGCGTACACCAACACGTTGACCAGAAGGCAGGAAATCTTGAGGGGGCGGAGGGTCAAGAGGCTTTGCAGTCCTATACGGCGCGCCTCATGCTTGTCGTGGAACGGTTGCAGAACGCGAGCACTTGATGGTGCACAGATGCAGAGACTTGACTCCGGTATGCCGCCTGGGCATTGATTCATTACTGATCAGACGCACTTTGTCTTTACTTGATTAACCCTCGGGTTGTTTACCATTGGGCAGTAAGTTGTTTTCCTCCTCACAGGTAGCTTCTTATTGGTTAGGCTTTTGATGGCTATGGCATGATACCCCGAATTACGCGTATGCGGTCATTGCTGGGAAGGGATCGCTTGTATTGTATATAAAGATTTCGATACCCCAGGGTCTTGGACAGAAACGTGGATAGTAACGGTCGTGCAGCGAGGCTCTTCAGGCTAGCAAATGACCCGTAGCAGTTATATGAGAAACCTGCAAGCTTATACTGATTGAGCGACATGTCATCTATTCGTCGCCGCTATCCGCTCGTATTCCCATCGCGTAGGCCGTAAAGGCTAAATGAGGGCTTGTAACCTCGCACGTACCCGTCCGTAAGGCTGCACCCGACCCAGAAGGCCGGCTCAAGTGACGCAACAGCCGGCATGTGGAGTGGCTCTGCCGTCGGGACAATTTGCGAGATACCTTCTACAGAACTTCCATGCAGCGGGCGTGTAATATCCGGGCGAGCAACATTTTTCACTTTTGCAACGACTTGCATGTGATGGTTTCGCCTTGAGTCAAGAACGCCCGACATCATTTCGGCTAAGTTGTATGCTCGGGGCGTCGGGAAGGGCAGCGATAGTTTCTGACATTTCGGAGGTTCTTGTGGCGCTGAGTGGTTGTAGGTGAATGGAGTATCTGCAGGTAGTGTGCTGGA